CTCAGTCATCACTACAAAACGGTCCTGTTCAGGACCACCATAAATTTGATAAAGAGTATTTATTGGACATTTGTCAAGGTCATCAATCGGATGTCAGTTCTCATATCCAGATAGAGCTGGAATTAAGGCGTAACAGCTTCTTTAAACAATGACTTCTTTCGATGATGTCTCGAAATTTAAGGCTTGCTCACGCAAATCAACATCACCATTATGTAGGATAAGACTTTCTCTACCCGACGGTAATGTTAGTTTGCGTGGGCATGCCTTGAAATCCTAAAAATGCTAAAAATTGTTGGAAATTTGCACATATGTTTCCTGTTCCCAAAAAGGGAAACAAACGGGACGTGGATAATAACTGTGGAATCACATCGTTGAGTTCAGTTTCGAAGTTATTCGAGTTAGTCATCATGGAGCCCTTGCTCTCTCATTGTAAGCAGTATCTAAGTAGTAATCAACACGGCTTCGTTTCCGGTCGTTCTACTACCACTAATCTACTTTGTCTGACATCGTATGTCACGGAAAGCATGACAGAACCGGCCCAAACAGACGTAATTTACACCGACTTGTTCGATAAACTGAACCATGCAATTGTGATTGCTAAGCTAGATAGACTCGGGGTAAATGGCAACCTCCTGCGATGGTTTCGCTCTTATCTCAGTGATCGCCAGTTGATGGTAACCGTTGGTGAATGACAGTCTGCTACTTACCCAGCCACGTCGGGGATACCTAGGCCCTTTGATTTTCCTGTTGTACTTTAACGACGTGAATCTGGTCCTCGAAGGCCCTCGTCTATCGTAGGCAGATGATCTAAAAATCTATATCCGGATCCGTTCTATCGATGACTGTCACTTCCTCCAATGCCAGCTCGAAGCGTTTGCTAACTGGAGCAACTTGAACCGAATGGAGGTCAACCCTGCGAAGTGTTCAGTTATCACCTTCTCTCTCAAGAAGGAACCGATCATGTTCAATTATGTACTTCAGGAAACAACTATCAGCCGTGTCAACCACGTAAAAGACCTGGGAGTTATTCTGGATTCCCAGTTAACATATTATTAACACAGTTCGTTCATTGTCGACAAGGCGTCAAGATCTTTGGGATTCATTTTCAGGATTGTAAAGAATTTTTCCGATATATATTGTCTCAAATCGCTATACTGTTCCCTGGTGCGGTCCACCCTGGAATATTGCTCTGCAGTATGGAACCCATTGGCGTGCACAGGGTGGGGCAAGGTGGGACAATTGCCCCACCTTTTATAAATACAATTTTTGTTTCCATATTTACAAAGTTATGATATACAATATTTTGATTTCTTGATAACTTGATTTGAAGGTAAAATTGAAACCCTTTTATTGCGTCAATTCCTTTGAGATGGTGCCTGAAAATTGCACCACAAAGGTGCATGAAGCGACAAACTTCAATGACATTTTTTGGTCAAAAAATTGCACCACATTTCTAGTGTAATTTTTTTTTTCAAGGTTGTTCATGGAGGGTAAATTCACCTTCGTGGTAGTAAATCGAAGAAAAAGCTTTTTATTGAATATTTCTGATGTAAAAATATCATCAAGGTGGTGCATGGAGGGACTAATCAAAATGAATAACTCTGATTCTAAAATTGAATCGCGCTAAAAATTTGGTGCATAATTTGCACCGTTCTGATGAATGCAAGCTTCATTGAAAATGTATGGTGGAAAATTTGTACCATTCTGGTGCATGAAGAGGCAAAGCCTGAAGGTGCATGGTGAAACAAACTTCACTGACAATTTTTGGTGCACCGTTCTGGTGAATGGAGGAGCATGCTCTATTGAAAATTTCTGGTGCAAAATTTGCAATGCTTTGGTTAATGAAATGAACAGAAAATTTCTGGTGGAAAACTTGCACTAGTCTGGTAAATGAAGGCACAAGCTTTATTTAAAATTTAGCTAAATTGAAAATTTCTGGTGAAAAATCTGCACCGTTCTGGTGAACGGATGGGCAAGTTTTTCGGAATTTTTTTGGTTTTAAATTTACATCCTTCTGCTGAATAGAGAAACAAATTTTAATAATAATTTCTGGTGTAAAATATGCACCATTCTGATAATTGAAGGGAAGCTGCTCTACTGAAATTTTTTGATTAAAAAATCCGAAATTAGGGGCAAACTTTATTTGGTGGAAAACCTGCAACATTCTGATGATAGGAGAAGCCAGCTATATTAAAAATGTTTGGTGGAAAATGGAAAAAGGAAATCTGCACCAATCAGAAGATTGGAGAAGCAATTTTTATTGAACATAAACGGTGGAAAATTTGCATCGTTCTGGTCAATTGAAATTTTCTGGTGAAAAATTTTCTGGTGGCAAGTTTGTATTGAAAATTTCTGATGTAAGATTTGCAACATTCTTCTGCATGGAGGGGCAAGCTGAATTTAAAATTGCTGATGTAAAAATTGCACAGTTCTGGTGAATGGAGGGGCCAGCTATATTGAACACTTCTAGTAGAAAAACTACAACGTTTTGGTGAATTAACGGACAACTTAAATTTGACTTCCGAGAAGAACCTCAAGGGTATTGAATTCGGAGGACAGTTCCAAAAGAAAAGATTTCTGTGGATGATTTCATGAAAATTCTGCGAATAATTTCAAGCGAATCCTGCAGATAGTTCCAAGATAATTTCGAAAAGAATACCGAGATAATCAAGGTTTTAATGAAATTCTAAAGGGATGTTGAGGAAAATTTCAAGGGAATTCCGAGGATAATTCTAAGCTCATTCTGGGAAGAATTTCTGGAGAATACAGAGGAAATTCTTCTAAAAGTTTAGGGGAATTTCTGTTCTAAGGTGTTCTGAGAAAAAAAATTCTAAAATATTCAGAGAAAAACCTCAAGGATATTGAATTCTTAGGACAGTTCCAAAATATTTCTGGGGAGAATGCAAAGAAAATTCTACGGATAATTTCTAGTGCATCCTGCAGATAGTTCCAAGATAATTTCGAAAAGAATAGCGAGAAAATCAAATTTTGAGTGAAATTCCGAAGGGGTTTTAAGCAAAATTTCAAGTGAATTGCGAGGATAATTTCTAGCTCATTCCGGGAAAAAAATTTGAAACTCAAAAGAATTTGAATTCCAAAGTGTTCTGAGAAAAAAATCATGAAGAGTACTTCGGGACAGGGTTGACATGCTCAATCCTTCGCACTATTCGTCATTCCGAAGAACTGGACCACCAAAAAAAGAGGTATGATTGCTCCTAGTAATGCAAAGCGGCTACAAAATCGCTATATAATGGAACGTTTAATCGATATTATGGGCACACTTTGCAAAGGTGGCCGACCACTTCGTGAACATTCGGGAGGAGCAGAAAGTGTGCCACCGTGGCTAACTGTTGCACAATGTAATGTTGCGGAACATTGCAAAATCCTTGCGAGGAAAACCAGTGGTAATCATTGCAGATGAGACGAGCGATTGTGGCCACCACGAGCAGTTGGCGATTGTCATCAGGTATAATGATAATGATCGACCGACGGAAACATTCGTGGGTGTGAGACGGGTGTTGAAAACATTCGCGACGACCATCTTCAATACTAAAGCTGAGGTCCTGACAGCGATGCAGATTTTTTGGGAGCAGGTGATGGCAGTGACGGTGCTAGCCCAATGGCTGGCAGCACTGCTGGAGTACCAGCCAAGTGCAAGGACGAAAACAGCAATATACTTTTATGAAGAGCTTTGAGTGTGTTTGTTTATTTTCTTTTGATAGATACGCGTATTTCGTCTACTACTTGCAGACTTCATCAGTGCCAAGTACACAACACCACTGATCAAGATTGGATTGATCAAGAGCAATATACTGCTTGTTCACTGCTATGCGCACTGTTTGAACCACGTACTTGTCGACGCAGTGTGCATACGAAAGAAGAATGCGATTCTTTTTGTTCATTCATGTCGGTTTGTCGGTGCTATCACCACCATCTGAAGTGACGTCAGCTGAATCCAACCACCAAGGCAACAACATTGCAGCAATTGTATCATTTCATTTAAAGCCCTACTATTGCAACCATTTGACGAACTGATCACCATCGACATTGTCAATTTCATTGAAGAAGATGAACCACCACCGGATTAAGTGAGAAGAACAGTAGGGAAACAGTGGTGCGTGGACGTCACCATCTCCCACGCACTTTGGAGTACTCCGCATCCCCAGATTAAATACACCATAGAAAAAACAATTGCCCCTCCTTCACAAGATTCCTGTGCACGCTAATGGTGAACCCAAGCTATAACAATGGTGCTGAAAGAGTTGAGTCCGTTCAGCGTCGATATCTTCGATTTGCTCTGAGGAAGCTGCCTTGGAGAAACCCTTTTCGTCTACCCAGTTATGAAAGTCGATGTCAACTGATTGATCTGGAGCTTCTACGTACTTGGAGGGACACTTCGCGGGCCCTGATCATCGCGGATAGTTTACAGGGTAGAATTGATTGTTCTACAATCCTGGAGAAGATCAACGTGAACGTCCAACCCCGAGCAATGCGAAATAACGCTAACGTTAAGATTGCCGCAGCATCGCACTAACTGTAGCATGAACGGTGCTATAGACGGCTTTCAACGTGTGTTCAATCGAGTTTCTTCAGTGTTCGATTTAAACCTGACACGAGAGATGCTACGCCGGCGCTTTTCTCGTATTTTCTCTATCGCAGTAAACCGTTGAATGACCATGTATTTTATTGTATGGTGTATTTTAGTAAGCTAGACTATGTATTTTAATGTTATTCCTTTAAACATCATTGAGGCTACACTCAGCCTGTTGATGTTTATAAAAAAAAATACTTAAGCACTTTGAACAACATATTAATGGTTGTGTATTAAGCGCTCTAGAAGGACTTTGTTGGCTCCCCTGATGACGATATTAGGTAAAGGTATCGTCGAAGTCAATATTTACCCAAATAGTATGTGCAATTATGTTATCATCATTTAATACGAAGTACGGAAATAACCAATAAATGATAGCGAAAAATTAAAGAAATGTCTCGTAACCCACCTGCAGTACGGTAAAGATCACCGCAAACAACGTCACAATCAGCAAGCATCCCGATACGGCCACAACAGTGACGGCCGAAGGTGAAGCCCCCTGGAGGAACTGTCGCAGACCGGAGTCGCTAGTTTCGGCCGCGTTGCTACCGCTGCCGGCGTTGGCGGCTTCTTCGCCAAACTGGAGCAGTTGCTGCTCGGCACCGATGCGCCGTTTTCCGGCCGGCGATGAGTTGATACAGCCACCTGTAACGAGTGTGACGCAGCAAAGGCATCGTCAACTGGTGTACCTTTCACCACGACATAGAAATGATTCACCAACTTACCGGTTTCTTTGTCGCAGTGGCAGCAGCTCTGGTCTTCGGGAGAGGCATCGCTAGCACAGCAAGGCACACACTGGTTGTTGAGACGGTCGAGATGCAGCGGGAAGGCGCACGTTACGCACGAGTACTGCCCGGGACCGCTACAGGAACGGCAGCTATCGTGACACGTCTTGCACGTCTGCGTCGGTGGATCGTAGAACTGTGAACCGAGGCACTCGATACAGAGGCCACCGTCCAGCATGAAATGCGAAGGACAGGAGGTACATGCCAGCGGACCAGCGGCTGCGGAGGAAGATTCGAAACGTCAGCTTAAGAATTTCCCAAAATATAATCCATCAAAGCCCTTACCGTTGCAAGTTTTACAGTAGTGATGGCACTTTTGGCACCCAAATTTGGTTTTGAAGAATCCCTCGGGACACTCGGGATGACACTCACCCCCGGCAAGTTGCCAACCCTCCGGGCACGTAACGCACTGATCCCGCCGTGGTCCACTGCAAGTGTTGCAGCTTAGGTAGCACTTGGCACAGGTGCCCCGATCGCTGTAATATCTGTCAACGAATGGAGTTGATTAAGAAGATCAACAACTATACGCAGCGCAAAGAAACCTACCCATCGGCACAGGTCGTTCGGCATTCGCCACTCTGTAGCTGTAAGCCCTTCTGGCAGCTGGTACAGTTCATGCGCGATACGCACTGGGTGCACGTGTGCAAACACTTGGCGCAGACCCCAACTTCCATGTAGTATCCCTCGTTACACTCGTTGACGCAGCGTTGGTTCTGCAGCAGCAACGGCGAGGCACAGGTCAGGCATTCGTTCTCGGTGGGGCCTGTGCATGTTTCGCACGTCGAGTGACACGTGTGGCAGTGGCCATTTTCGTAATACTCCGCTGCATGGGAGGGAACAGAAAGAAAAGTTGTAGTTAGAAATGTAGTTCGATGTATAGCAAGGGTGATTGATGCTCCTGTTTTGGGACCATGCTGATGGCCTGGATCTCCAGAACCTTACGGAAATATGCACTGGCATAAATTAGAGAGGTTTCTTCAAACCACGAGTATAAATATAATTTCTTGAAAAAAGCATATCAACACAAAACACTTGAGATCAACAGTTAACTATATTTCTATTAAAATATTTTTCGATTTCAGGTTTAACTTAGTTTAATTTATCCAATTCAAATAACATTAGTTTCTACAATTTATTTTTTTACCGACTATATAAAAAATAACTTCACTGCGAGATTGCTTACAAGTTTTTTTTCCCTTGATTTGTTTTCCTTCAATCTTTTTTTCCCCGCTGAGCACCACTGCTACCGACGACCTGGACCCTACCTATCGACCCATCAACTCATGAACCGGGGACCAACGGCTTTACTTCCCTTCCGAAGGAAGGCGCGATCAGTCCTACTGGGGTGAGAGGCTAATGTAATCGCACTTATTTAAAATAGTTCCAGTGCTCCAAATTTGATCAAATTTCGGATTTCTTTTCCATGTTTACTGTAGATTACGAATATGCTTAAATAACCCAATTGGTAGATAGATCTTCTTTCTCTATGATGCACGGTATATGCATTTGGGTTAACATCCGACGCCCCTCCTTCTTTACATATTCTGCACAAAAAATACTTTGTACCCCCCACCCCTGACAGGATTTCCCACCGTTTTTTTTATGAATGGGGCGGGGCAGAAAGTATCTTTTGTGCAGAATATGTAAAACAACGCACACTGGGGACAAAATCGAAACAATGTGTTAAAATTCAATAACTTCGGTGCTCGATGGAACAAGAAACTAAAAAATAGTCATTCTTATAGAAAAAAGTCTCAGGAATCGATTGGAGTGGGTTTCATCTTGGGCACGATAGGGTAAGTTGGGCTTTTTCACAGTTTTGCCCTAAAATCTCCTATTTTGCATGATTTGAATGCTGTATCTCAAGAAACCGATGATATAGACGGATGATTTCTTCGGCAAAGTTGATAAGAAGGTCAAGGACTGTTGGATGATAGACAGAACAATTCGGAATTCTTCCGCTAGGTGGCGCTAGTGAGCATTCGAAGTGTATATGTTTGTGCTGGTGTATCTCAAGATCCTGACTATTAAGACGGATGATTTCTACGGCAAAGTTGATAAGGAGGTCAAGGAACAATCCGGAATTCTCCCGCTAGATGGCGCTAGTGAGCATTTGAAATGAATATGTTTGTGATCCAGATTCAAGGAATCAACCTTTGCAAAAAACGAGTTGGTCTCTTTAGTCCAATTAATAGAGCGTATTCTGCAGAACGAATCTGACTGGGGATTCGGGTTCCGCCAAATATCCTCTCCTCTTTCGGATGCTAACAACAGGCTCATAAAATGCTCGGAGAGAAGAGAATCATCCTCTTTTAAAAAGCCAGTCTGGTTGTAGTGCGTAAAACCTAACGCTGATGATAAGTATCCTTCTCGGTTTGGAGTTGAGAACGGTGGAATTATGGCGTTTCTAAATTCAGCTACTTTTTTCCAGGGCTGTAAAATTGCAATACCTAAATGGGACAATATGAAGGAACTAATAACAATGTACATCTCTAAAATTGATCAAAGATTTAGAAACTTGACCTATTTTAAACAAAAAATTGTTCTACTTAGTTTTTTTTTTATATATAAGTTAATTAAACTGCCATACCTAGATGCTTCTTAGTGAATCGAGCCAGCTCTCCATATTTGGTTTTACTTAACCCAAGTTTTGATTTTATCGCCAAAGATGACTCCTCCGAACACAGAGATGTTCCACGAACAGAGTCAACGGATTCGATAGTCTCTTTTGCCCAAACCTCACCACCGCTCAACAAGTGCTGTAAGATTTGAGCAGTTGCTGGATTAGCAGCCTTTATGCCAGCAATTTTGGCTGAATACAGCAAGTTATCAAGACCTTGTTCTTTGAAAAGTCCGATACTGCGTCTGTGTTTCGAAAATCTTGTCAACTGGCTAAACTCCTTGCGCTTTCGACCTCGAGGCTTTAGGGTTGACGGTCTTCGCTAACTGTTGGAACTGGTATCCAAATCCGGAGTGGCAAAAGGAGGTGAAATAGGAGATGATTGTGACGAGGGATCTTTGGGTTTCCTTGAATGGACCCACGTATTTTTCGAAGGCCTGGATCCTGAGGGTTGCTCTTCGACCTGATAAAATAATTGATGATGAACTATATTCAAGCATTTTTTCGTAAAATTTAGAGTCGGTAGTTTTTGTTTAGGATTTTTATAAAATATTCATACAAATATCAAATCTTCTTCTAATCGCGGTTGATGCTATTGATTATTTAGTAACATGAACAAAAACAGATTTCATCAGTAGTATGTCTTGCTTTACTACATTAGCGCATTTCCACGCTTTTACTAATTTTCATTCAAGTTCAATTTAAATTGGTTTGGAATCCGTTGTTTTTTTGAAAATTTAGCACTTCGCTCTACAGGTACATTTTTTCCGAACTGTTAATTTTTTTAATGTTCCACGGTAACGTATTGAAACCTTTTTTCGTTAATAAATGCTACTTTCTAAAATTAAGCACGCCCAGGGATTCTTACCTCGAATATGCTTTCAAGCCACTTTGCATTCTTCTTAAAGAACCGATCCTTACTGTGGGTTTTTGACCATCGCCGATTAAATTGACCAATCCAGTTTTTAACACCTTGTGCAACAGCCGCAGGTGCTTTCGACAGTGCCCTAGACACACAGTCAAGTAAACGGTTCTCCAAATTGTCCTTGAGTTCGGATCAAATTCTCATCCAGGTTCACATATTCAAAGCCCTTTGTATTAAAACATCTCCAAACAGGGTGCACATTATTTACCACATATCATGCACATTATTTACGTTTGAATTCGATGTGTTTAAGACGTTCTAGGTTCACCAAATTGTCCTCAAAACTTGTTAATTAGGCTACCATCTCGCATTTTAGTTTGATTACATTCATAGATCAGGGGGCCTCCATAAGCTCGGTCGGTAGAGCCTGCGACTATAAAGCAAACCATACTGTAGGTGGCTGGGTTCGAATCCCGGTTGGTCTAGGATTTCAGATTGGAAAATTTCTTGACTTCTCTGGGCATATTATATTATTGTACTTGCCACACAATATACACATGTTAAAATTGAACAGGCTTGGAAAGCTTTCAATTAACAACTGTGGAAGTGCATCTAGAGCACTAAGTTGAGAGCAGGCGTTAAGTTACAGTTGGGACGTAATAGCCAGAGAAGATCATAGATAGTTCTAACTAGCGGAGGAATTCCGAATTGTTCTGTCCATCATCCAACAGTCCTTGACCCCTGATCAACTTTGTCGAAGAAATCATTCGTCTAAATAGTCAGGATCTTGAGATACAGCAGCACAAATATATTCACTTTCAATAATCACTAGAGCCACCTAGCGGAGGAATTGTGAACTGTTCTGTCAATCATTCAACAATCCTTGACCCCCTGATAAACTTTGCCGAAGAAATCATTCGTCTAAATAGTCAGGATCTTGAGATACAGCAGCACAAACATATACACTTCGAATGCTCACTAGCGCTGCCTAGCGGAAGAATTCCGAATTGTTCTGTCTATCATACAACAGTCTTTAACCTTCTTATCAACTTTGCCGAAGAAATCATCCGTCTATATCATCGGTATCTTGAGATACAGCATTCAAATCATGCAAAATAGGAGATTTTAGGGCAAAACTGTGAAAACCCCCAACTTACCCTATCGTGCCCAAGATGAAACCCACTCAAATCGATTCCTGAGACTTTTTTCTATAAGAATGACTATTGTTTAGTCTTTTGTTCCTGCGAGCACCGAAGTTATTGAATTTTAACACATTGTTTCGATTTTGACCCCAGTGTGCAACGCAACGTGGGGCTTTAGGTAGTGATGAAAACGTCGCTAGAACTATTCCACAGCCGCAGTCAGTTTATGAGCAAAAGAGGGATGCACATTTTTTGCCTGTAGACTTGGATACATACTTCAAGTCTCCGCGTACATCGTACGGGTTAGGCAAAAGATGTGCGTCTATCTTTAAAAACTGTCGCATTAATGGCCCTTCGCTCATTTTCAACTTCTATTCAATTTTCATACTGCCGTACTCTAACGGAACTATCCACCTACCCTCTTCTAAAGATCATTCTCTAGCTAATAAATTACCACACTAAAGCTTCATGTAAGCATTTCCAACCAACTCTGGACCTCGGATGTTTATCTAATTGCATATATAGAGGCAGAGATGCCAGATCTACGGAAATCTCCGTAGATCTACAGATTTGACAAATTTTTGCGGAAATACAGATCCGTAGGTAAAATCTACGGAATGCGGTACAGTTTCTACGGATTGTTTTATTCAGTGTAAGTCAGTTTACTACACTCAAAAAATTCTACGCGTCATCATCATGTGTCTCACACTTAATTTTGCGCTTATTGTGAAACACATCCATTTCATGTGTGAACCTTATGCTATGAATCATGTCTGAACACTATGGATTTGAATTGTGACACACTTGGATTCTATGTGCCTCATATGGTGATATCAATAGCTTTGCACATCATAGTTCAATATTCTACAATATTCTACTTTATCGACTTCCACTTTGTCGACTCTAAAAATGAATCGATAAATATATAAACAAAACTGCCAGAGGCCAGAGCTTTCACATATCTTTTTAATGGGTCTGATTTGGGATTCGATGATGGACTGTTGGGGTGTGCTGCTGCCGGAGTCTTCGTTCGATCTCACTGTGCCACGGTTGTTCTCATATATGAGGCGGGTTGATAGGATAAAGTCACAAGTCTTGCACAAGAGTAAGCAATTCAATATCACAGTAGTGAATTTGAACAGTAGTGTGATTCAATGTGCAATGCACTTGAACAGATAGTGAGAGATTTTCAACAT